GTTTAATGCAATTGTTTTTTTCTTTTTTTTTGAAATATATTGTGATTTAGGGGAGTGGGTAGGGGTATATCTATGCACACACGTACACGTGGATGGTTAAAAACGTTTGGTCCCAACCTCAAGTAATGGGGAGGATACGCGTGTAAAGCCTCTTCTTCAGTTGCATTGCATATTTGCATATTCGCATGTGTCTTTGCTTCGAGTGGAAGATGTTGTCCCTTTCATCCCGGCTCGGATTCGTCTTCAATTCTCAGCGAGCCAAGCCCCCCCTCCACCACTCTCAGCTCGGCTTAATTACTTTACATTCTGGACAATCACTTCATCTTTCTACTCAGTACTTTTCCAGTAGCCGTCCAATTGCAGCTCTACCAGCCTCTTTGGATAAGGCTCGGAACGGCACATGTGCCACAAGTCAACAAAATTCTTTGGTCAAAAGATTACACACTAATCCCGAAACTTCACAATTAATATTCTAAAATCTAAGAACATCTTTAGTAGACATAAATTTTAAGAAGTTTTTGCAAGTGTCACTAGAAAAGAGAACATGGGAGAGGAAGGAATATAATAAATAAATTTAAAAAAAAAGCATAACAAAGGAAATTACGCGCCCAGCTGGACATTTTTAGTTCGTTTCACGCGACAAACATAACATTTTTCAATTTTGATGGGACCCACTGTGCAGATAAAAATCAAGTCTTCCTACTAAAACTCCAAATATGCTCTCTCATTCACATGTGCGTCAAAACCTATAAAAACTATCTAAAATCCATTGTTGTGGATGTTCTTAGTGAAAGAGGCTTAATGGTCGCATTGCTCTTTGAGATTTAGTTAGTGGAGGGGTTCGAAGAAAATTAACTGCATGATCTGACTCAACTAGGGGTAACCATTAGTCCATTACACTCGATACGATCAATAATAACATAATGATTCAAAACTGAAGTTCAATTTTCAACAGGTTATATCAATTATCAACAAAAAAATCATGGCTCATTTAAAATATTTTGTGGGTAAATTAATTTTTTTGAGTACTACTAATTCTATTAGAATATAATATATATTCATATATACTTTCTTGACCTATTGAAACACAAAAAGTCAATAATTTTACTTGACAAATTGAAATTGGTTAATTTTGCCTTGAAATGGTGCCAAAAGGACAGACAAACAAAAGAGAAAAGTTTGAAAAAAACATCCAAAGTAGTGTCATAGTTGCAATCCACTCGAGTTCTTGAGGTACAAGTCGTCTTTGGTTTGCAGACTTTTTATGAGGACAAGAAAAAAAAAAAAATTAAAAGCCTGAAAACACACTTCTAAAGGTAGTGTCATGTTAGTGGCTTTTAGCTTTGGAAAATGATATATGCATTTTAAAAGAGTAAAATTTTCATTATGTGTCTTGATTTTATTAAAAAAAAATAAAATAAAAAGAAAGTAATAAAAACTATGACTCACATTATTTTGAATAAATTAAATAGTGACATATAAGCAGAGGTATAAAATAAAATAAAATGTGAAAGTACTTGTAGTATTACTCTTTTATCTTAGTCACGGAGAAAAGGTTGATTAAGACACCTAATTGGACAGCAATGCAACTTGTCCTCACCTAAACCCAAACTGTACCCTTTGTTTATTGACTTCGAGGTCCCCAAAAACAAATAAATTTATCTTTTTTATATTAAGTCATTATCTCAAGGAATATTTACCCTTTATCTTTCACAATTTACCCAATCAGGTATGCCAAACAAAAGTATCCTACCCGGCTACCCCTAGTCTACACGACTACACCTCAAGACCTCCACAGTAAATATAGTACGGACTACGGAGTAGTATTCTACATACTTTTTTTTTTTCTTTTCTTTTTATAACTCCATATTAGTTTGATATTCCTCCAATAAAATCAAACGTTTGGCATAATTTTTTACCCTTTAAAAGTATATTTATCATTTATATGGATAAATGATAGTTTTGAACTTTGAATTATAATGATAAGATTCATATTTTTCTTCTCCAACCATTTGAATATGCATCACGAATAACATTAACACTTCCACTCTTAAAGATAGTCGACGTCATCAATTTATTCACAAAAAAGATCACTTTTAAGATTATTTGTGGTGAATAAATTGATTTACCATATATATATATATATATATATATATATATATATATATATATATATATATATATGAAAAATATGGATTTATTATTATTACAAAAATAATCCTAATAATAACAACCTGGTACGAAACCAAAGTTCGAATATAGTTTTTTAAAATATGAGATTTAAACCCAATGGAAGAAACGAGTCGTGTGTAACACACATTTTCTTTAAAACGATTTGCTATCTACCGGCTACCGATGGTGTTATGAACGTTGTAGCGTCAGTCTCCTAGGATAAAACCGATTACGACTTTAGTGTTTGAGCACTCAAACATCAAGTCCGGCGAACGAGAACAAATATCAAACACCCCGTACAATTTAGAGAAATGTTGCCAGAATTTTCGTAAGAAAATGATTTGGAGAGAGCAAGAGAGAAAACTAAATTGTTTTTCAGGTTAAAACCAACATGAAACTATCTGCCCAACACCAAGCTATTTATAGGAGCAGATAGAATAAATAGCATTAATAATGGCATTAAAATATGAAATAGATTTTGAAATTGTAACCTTAGTGATCGTGAATTGTTAAAATGGGTCTGGGCTGGTTTCGAGTTGGGCTTGGGACTATTTTTTTTATAGGACCTGAACCGGCCCTCTATAAGCCGGTTCAAGTTTGGGCTAAGCCGGGTGAAGCCCGTGCCTTTTTTTTTTTTTTTTTTTTTTTTCGGGCCGATTCAAGGCTAGTTCAACCTTGAACCAGCCCGTGGTCACCTCTAGTGCAAACCCACCTCACAAACCAATGTGGGACTAGTGCTTATTCAAAGTCTTTACCGCCTAGCTTGGGGGTGTGGTTGAGTGGAAGTGACTCATCCATCCTTAACCAAAGGTCATGGTTTCCATCATTGGATTTGGGTATGGAGCAACCTTAAATCTCCAAGACAGTTGTCCTACCCAAAAGATGTGCCTACAATTCAGCGAGGGGATTAATTACTATGTCAGACGGTGAAAACTCTGGGTACACCAAAAAAAAAAAAAGTCTTTCCACATTCATTTTCCAACTCAAATGGGTCTATTTTGATAATCAATTATATTTATCATTCACTCATTATTCGCATTGAGCAATATATCAATTTCTCCCCATCTCACTACGAAGAGTGCCAACTCAAATTGGGAGAGAATCTCACATATATTTGTACCACAAAATAGCCACTTAAATGTCATTTTAAGCTAAAATTTCAACAAATTGTCCTTAAAATGACTAATTTTATCGAATCATTAATAAAACTATTAAATATTATGGAATAATTTGAGACCTTAAACTTATGAAGAATTAACTTTTATGTAAATTTAAACCGTCACTTAAAGGAAGAAGATGGCATTTCATTCGACTGCGGAGAGGATAATAAAAGAGAAAATGAACTGAAAATTATATAAAAGTCTTTCAAATTTTAAGATAACAAACAATTTTACCAATATTTAATGGTTTTGATTGAGTTTCAGAAAAAATTGTCACTTTATAGATAATTAAAAAAATAAATATGAAAGCACTTGTAATTTCATGATTGTCACAAGTTGGTAGAGCATGATTCTCGTACAAAGAAGTTATAAGTTCAAAAATGATATGTGTATAATTTATTCACTATACATATTCAAATAATGATTGTATATTTTTCTCGTCATTTAAAAAGGTACAATTATCATTTTCATAATAAAAATTGATGGAAGAATATAAAACATCAGTACCCTTCAACATTATCCACGCTTTAGTACACTATTTCACTTGGATAATTTCTCGATTTTCTTAATTGCCCATCATTGATTATTAAAGAAATTGACAATTCAATACCACCTTTGGGAGAAGAAGAAGAAATTGACAATTCAATACCAACTTTCAATTCTATTCGTAAAGTGTCTATTTGAGTCCTCATCCTCAGCAACACTATCTTACCATTTATGGTCTTTTAAGTGGTTGATGCGTGTTACAATAACCAATTCAAGTAGAAGCAAAACTCAATATACTCATTCACACTCCTCTTTATAGAATGGTTTTGGTCATATTCCCAAACATTATCTTCAATTTTATCCTTATTTATTATGAATTCAGTCAACGTTAATTTGATTCATGCACGCAGTTAAATACACCATCGTTTAATAGTACTTTCATATTTTGTTCACATTGCATGTAAAATAAGAAAAGTATTCTAGCTATCTAGAAGCTAAGTAATACCTAAAATATGCTCTCGACTAAGTCGTTGTCCAAAAAAATTAATTTTCTACTAATAATCATATAGAATAGTTCGTCAAAATCCCCCCAAAAAAATAGTGATTAAGTGGGTAGAAACATAATTTGCATACTTGAAAATTACAATTTCAATTATTAATAAAATCCTCTCATCAGTCGAGCTCATTGCAAAAATTTTGTATAAAATGGCTCAACTCCAGTCTAGTTGGTCGGCCGGTTTTGCATATTATAATATTATAGAGTTCTGCTACATGGACTCCTAAATCTTACTCCTTAAATTTTACTGATGTGACGGAACACTGATAAACTACTTTTTTTCACATGAGTCTCAATGCAAGTGTTAAATCAAGATTTTGAGTGTTAGAGTAAAAGTTGATAGTAGAAAATGAGAGTTCGTTCGTACTATTTAATAATTAATTAAATACTATAATGTGTGAGGTTGAGTGTGAAAGTTGTTACCGCAAAAGCCAAAGTATGCTTCACAAGAACAAGACAAAAAAAGCCACACCTATCTACAACTTCACCATCTAATTTCCAATCAGACATTGAACTCTGCAAATATTAAAGCTTGATGGCAATATCGAAATTTTGCACGAGACCAGGTCTAAACTTTAGAGCTCTAGCTTTATAAATAACTCCCCCATGTACCATTATATTCAAGACACCAGCTACTTATTATTCTTAACCACCTTTCATTTCGTTCCTCGCTAGCTGCTACCTTTTCTCCTTCATAAAACACAGCAGAAATTCAGAAAACAAAATTATCGTACGACCAAAAGAAAGTGAAAAAAGATGACATCAAACTTGAGTAACAACAACGATCTTGACGATCCAATGGCCATGATTTCTGAGTACTATTCTGGCGTCTACACCCATCTTGTACCGGAACAAGGTCCGTATATTATAGTACTTGGTACAATCTTTACATGCTTACGTTTGAATTTAATGCCCCGTTTTAGCGTATCTAACTTTTGAGTTTTCCGGTACGGTGGTGTGTTTGAGCAGTGGAGGCGAAGCCGCGGCGGAGACGGCGGAAGAGCAAGGCCGGGGACGGCGGTGTTGAGATGATGATGAGGAAACGGAAGCTGAGTGACGAACAAGTGAAGCTGTTAGAGCAGAGCTTCTGGGATGAGCATAAGCTGGAGACGGGGAGGAAGGACCGGCTGGCGTCGGAGCTCGGGCTCGACCCTCGCCAAGTGGCGGTTTGGTTCCAGAACCGCCGTGCACGGTGGAAGAGCAAGAGGATTGAGGAAGAGTACTCTAAACTCAAATCGGAACACGAAACCGCCGTCGTCGAAAAATGCCGCCTTGAAGCTCAGGTATATTTATATATCTTTCTCTAATTCAATTCTTAATTATATAAGACAGAAAAGGGTCAAGTCCAATATTATGTCATTTATAATTTTTAGTATAGTGATTTGCGATTATGTTGGTAATATTATTTAGGTTGTATTCATTATTAGCTAGCATAAAAGAATATGGGAAATGAAGAGATATGATTTTGGGGTATTGGATATGCATGGAGTTTGGGATATGAAAGTGATGGACCACATACATACATGTGTGTACCATGATTTGATGAAAGACAAATGGCAAAAATTATGAGCCAGATAAAACTGGACCATAAAACTAGCTAGCTTGCAGGCATAACAGGAAGCACCACGTCCAATCACTATGCCACCGTACACCTTCTTTCAGGTGGCTTAGCCACCCCTACTTGGTGGAGCTGCACATGCAACTCCCACCACGTGGCTTCTTGTACTGCCATACTTAACATAATTTAATCCCCAATTAGTTGTTACACTAATTAAAGTTGTACTAACTCTTTGATTTATAATTTAAAAAAAAAAACCCGTAATCCTTATCTAATGTACATGCAGTTTCATAACTGATCAGTTTAAATCAATAATATGGTAATCATAATGTTACAACTCTTAACAAGAGAAAATAACTTAGGTTATTATTTTGTTTTCTGGTAGTCCTTTGCAGATAAGGGCCACAAGACAGTGTTTATTATCATGTGCCCATTATTCTAATGATCCTAACCCGTAAATGATAGATAAACAAATAAACTAACTTAGGCTGTTCATGACTGATGGTTGTTCCAGTTAAGAATTTAATAGCTTGAAACTTTGTGGTTATCCAGCCAATGAGTTTACAAACTGGGTTGGGATTATCGTAGAAGAGAAGGCTAATGTATGAGATAAATTAAAAACTTAACATCTTAGCGTCAACTTTAGGGCTATTTCTAAGCAAATCTTAAGAATGTTCCTAAATATATCATTTCAGGTGTTGAAGTTGAAGGAACAGCTGTCCGATGCGGAGAAGAAGATACAGAGGCTGTCGTTGGAGCTGTTGGACGGGGCGTCGGCCGCCGCAAGCCCGAGCTCGTCGTCGTTTTCGATGGTGTCGTCGCCGCCGTTTCTGGGAGATGAGTTCATGACGGGAAGTTTTGACAACGTGTTCTACGTGCCGGAATGGGACAATCTTTACATATGATGATGCCGGCCAGCGCAGCAAGCAAAACCTTAAAACTAGCTAAGCTAGATATGGATGGTGGATTAAGATGATGATGTAGATATAGTAAAAATATATATTTATAATAATGACCCAACAATTTATGTACATCCTTTGATCGATCTCCTGTTATGTTGGCCTAGAATGTCTGGGTGTTTGAGGGTTAGTTTCAGAAGAAGCAGAAGTGGGTAGTGTAGTGTAAGTGTTAGTGTGATTTGACTGGGAAGCTAAGTGGGAAGTAGCAATTCAGATATATGGATGGATGATGGAGTTTGGCTTTTTTGACTAAAATGCTTATTGCTATACTTTCTGTTCCATCATCACACCCATAAATGCTTCCCCACTCTTGTCTCACTCAAATGTTTATTGCTCATGTTTCTACTCTGTCCCCAACCAATATAATGTTCCAAAAGATTATATTAAAAAAATGAATTCGTCATAATATAGTAATTACTATATACTAAAGAAACAAAATGTGACAATGACACTTCAACAAAACGAGCCTTAGCTCACGCCTCTTCCAAAACATTCAATCTATCTTCACTAACCATAACACTCGTACGTAGTCATTCATATAGTTGGTACAAAATAGCATAACAAGTTAATATTCAATTTAGTCAACGATTATATTGGTTATCATTATATTTAATCTATATTTTATAGTTAAAATATTTTATTTTTTTATGAGTACATTAATTAAAAATTATTTTACGACTCGATCACCTGGGATAGTCTCTAACACACTTGGTACATAGAACTTTCACTGAAGGCTAACAAAATCTTTTTTTCTTTTTTTAAATAAGGAGATACCCTACATATACACACTACTTATGTTAAGTAATAGGTTTGAACCTATCACTTCCCATTTGAGAAAGTAACTCAATACCAGTGGACCACATGTCACTTGGTGAAAGCTAACAAAATCTTAATTAGTTAGCAAGATTCTATGAATACAAATATAATGCAATATTTGGACAATTCTAACTTCCTCTTTTTTTTTTTTTTTTTTTTTTTTTTTCAGCTTATAGTTATGGATAATTTTAGATGATTTATCTTCTTGTGGTCTTTTTGTCTATTAAAGTTATAAAATAGACTTTACTTAAAATACACTTTCACATAATGACGATAAATTTGTAGTAAATTAAAGATATAATGCAATATCACAATAATCGGTAGTATAAATAAATAATTATAGAAGTAGAGCATGACTTGTATTGGTAGTCCATATAAAGGTGGCGGTCAACTTGTAGGGCCATAGTTGTGAACATAATGGATAGGATTCCTTGGTGCTATGATACGGTGTCACGTGAACTAGCGAGAATCTTCGCTCTAAACGTGGCCAAACTACAAATAAGTATTATCGGATTGTAGAAAGATGTTTGGTAAATTAGTTGTTAGTTAATAGTTGATTATATGTAAAAATGACTTTTTAAAATAGTTGATCAGAAAAAATTACTTTGAATCGTTTTTTAAATTTTAGTAATTTAGAGCAATAAGATGTTACAAAAAATACATTAATTAAACACTTAAATTGACTATTTAACGACAACTAGCTAATAGTAATCAAATAAATTAAAATTAACTAAGAAACTAAATATGTTACCGACCATTATTTACTTGGGTTACCTTTCTAAAACTAATTTAATTAAAGTTATTTCTTGATTTTAAAATCGGTCTAAATTTAGTATAAAATATTTAAAACATCTTATAGTACTTAAATATTTAACCAAATTTCATACACCCTTTGTACAAGTGTGAGTATTTTGTCAGATTGAATCACAGAAATTGTATAATAAAATATGACATCATACTCAATGATATTTTAAATTAATTGTGATGAAACTTGGATTCCAAAATTTTTGGCAACCAATGGATTAAATAAAAAATTAAAGACAACAAATAATAAATTCAAAATAATAACAAGGGATGATATAATTATGGTATTGTATTGCCATAAAGTCAATGATGCATAATGCAATTCCAGTTACGGAGGCACATTTCTATTGAATTATTATTACAAGACATAGTTACAAACATTTTGAAATTTAAGTAATTATATTGTCTTAGACTTCAGATAGCTAGATATATATGATTTAGATAATTTCATTTTTTGTTCTAGATTTATAGGTGACAATTCATTTTTAGTCATTTTTTTCAAAACATTCTCTTTTGGTACTAGTATTATTGTGATATGACCAGTTTTGGTCATCTATCAACAAAACAGTTTAAATGTTGTTAAATACAAGGGCATTTCGATTTTCAATTATGAATTTTAACAAAAAGATAAACATAAAAAAATATATATAATGGGTCAACGCATGCACTTTGTATTAAAAAAAAATCAAATTGTCCTTGTATTTAATGGCATTTCAACGATTTTGTTGATGGAAGACCAACAATAGTCATGCCACAATAATACTAGGACCAAAAGAGGATGTTCTGATAAAAAAGGACTATACTAGAAGTTGACTGTCACCTATAAATCTATGACAAAAAATGAAATTAACTCATAAGATTATTTAATTGGATCTCTTTACATCTTCCTAATAAGGGCATCCTCAATAGAGACTTTGGGGTGTTTTTTTTTTTTTTTTTTTATGAAATGTAATCCTATGTAGAAGAGAGAGAGGGAGGAGAGAGAATAATTTAGATCTTTGCAGGAAGACCTTTGTTTCTTTATGATGTGTGGACCCCACCAAATCAGTAAAACTGCTCCATGGTGCGCGTTATGAGCACCAGAGCGCCAGCCGGGCGCGTTATTTCATTTGCGGCTTTTCTTCTTCTTCTTCTTCTCCTTCTTATTCTTCTTCTTCTTATTCTTCTTCTTTCCATTCTCTCTCTCATGTTCTCTCTCCTAGTCACCTCGGCACGCAAAAACTCTTCAAAATTCATGCCTAATGAGGATGCTCATCTATGCAAATGACCTTGTGGTCTAGTGGCACGAAGTGGCTTTCCCGAATGGGAGGTCATGGGTTCGGATCCCTAGTGGGGGCGGTATTGACTCTTTGTGCTTCAGTAGGTTGAGAAAGTAGTTATGAACAAATACTATATTGTAACAGAGTCAATAGTACTAAAAAAAAAAAAAACATCCTCATCAGTTGGGGTTTTCTTTCTTTCTAAATAACGGCCAATTGACCACTCTCAATTGTCCAAGCGGGCGTGTGTATTCGTAGGCGGCCAGTCCGCGTCTCACTAAGCTTTTTTTAAAAAATGCAAAAACATTGTTTTTACTAGAGTAAAAACCAAGAAAAAATTAAGGGTGTGTTTGGTTCGCACATAGGAATCGGAATGGGTATCAAATACTTGGTAATGGTAATGAGTTTTGGTGAAAATATTTAACATGTTTGGTAGTAGGGTGGAATGGGAATGGTTACTAATAGTAGTGCTTGAGAATGAATAAGGGAATAAAACCCTTATTTTATTTGGATATGAGTTTTTCAATTGATGGGGTATTCGAAATTCATAGTAGTGTTCTAAAAACCTATCAACCAATCAGTTAAGTACCGAATTTGGTAAATATAAAAGCATCGTATCAAGTAATTATAACATTATTATAAGTTTAATAATATGTGAAGTGTATGTAAACAAACTTAAAGTTAAAGGTTCATAAATTGAATGTTTAACATGTAATCATGATTACCAAGATTATGTGGTCTAATGGTATCTGGGTTGGACTTCCATTTAAAAAATTGTGAGTTCGAGCCCTTAATCATGATTATAAGGTACTCTGTAGTTTTAAGATATATTCGGTTGAAAACTAGCAAGTATTTTTTATAAAATTAAGGTATTAATTTTATTGACATGTAATTAATAGATTGTGTACATGTAACATCACCATTGTTTACAAATGCGGAAAAAAAAAAAAAAAAAAGAGCGACTTAAGGCATCATTTATGTAAATAGGAAATGACATTGTTTTGTACTATAATCGATGATATAATAATTGTCATGTTCCTTGTTATAATACAAATAAAATATAATATTTTTTAATAAATATTATTTTGAATGCCATAATTTTTAATTAACCGTTTTTTCGCTTGCTCTCAACTGATTTTTAGTCCGTATCTTAATAGGGTGGAAATTAAATCTTATTGAACTAATTCATAACATTAAAGTGTCAAGTATATTGTGCTCAGATGGTATGTAGTGATCTCTCATGTGGGATGTCATGAGATTGAGCCTCAATTGAGGTGTTGTTAATTGTTTGTGCTTCATTAAGTTGAAAAAATGGTAGCATTCATAACATTAAAATAATTCGAACTATTAAAATATGAAATGTTTACACTAGGCTGATTTGGAGTTGTTATACTATGAACTAGGGTCCACCTTGCAAGGTAGATACTGGTCCTAAACGACGTATAAATTGTGTATTTTTTTAGTATTGAAATTGGACACTTCTAGAATATAAATTGTGTATTTTTAGTATTGAAATTGGACACTTCTAGAATATAAATTGTGTTTCTAAGTCAAAACACATAACAATTATAGAAGAGATTTGTGAATACAATACAAGGTCATCAAATCTCAATCTATTAATATTGTGTGACTGCAGTATTTGAAATGAACTTGTGAATACAAAACAAGGTAATTAATTACATATATATGTGAACATTGTGTGTTCGTAGTATACAAATTGTGAATTTTAAAATGTATATTGTGATATTTAGTATGTAAATTTCAATGTTGCAAAAATCGCGCATAGGTGGTGGCTGGTCGCCTAGAAATTCGGCAAAGTCGTCGTTCTACGCTGCCGGCCGCCTAGGCGCTGATTAGGTCGCGGCAAACTAGGCGGGCATTTAGGCTACCGATTAGCTATTTTTCTGTGATTTTGTAAATGGGTTATTTCGCTCAAATTGATGCCGTTTTTAGTGAAATAACAGTAAATTGTTCAAATTCGTCACAAATCCAAAAAATGTAGAGAAAATAGTCAAATAAGCCCCTAAACTTTATACAACAAGTCAATTAGGCACCTGAACTTTTAAAAGTAGCAATTAAACACATTAACTTCTGATTTTTGTGCATTTAAACCCACAAACTGGATGTTTACCTGTAAATATAGGTAACCTCTTATGTGACATCATCTGAGCTTGCCACGTATGCAAACTTAAAAAAAATATTTATTAAAATTAAAAATCAAAATAAATATTTTATAATAATAATAATAATAATAATAAACATTTTCTGTTTCTAGCCACTCACCGTTCGCTTCCACCGGCCGGCATTGCCATAGAAGAAGAAGAAGGCAGCCATGGCCATGGCTGCCTTCGACCTCTTCTCTCTCTCTCTCTTGTATTTAATATCTTTCCCTTTAGGCTGAAGGGAATGATTTTTTATTTTTTATTTTTAATAAAGTTGAAGCTTGAAGGCAGCCATGGCCGATGACCATGGCTGTCTTATTCTTGGTTCCTTCTTCGTCTCTAAATCTGGAGATGAAGAAGGTTCCTATTTCACTTCTTCTTCTCCCGATCTGGAGACGAAGAAGGGAAATATTTGAAAAAAGAAAAAAGAAAAAAAAGAAGTTGATGGCAACCATGCCTGCCTTCTCCTTCTTCGTCTCCAAATCTAAGAAGGGAAAGATATTTTTTTATTTAAAGAGAGAGTGAGAAGAGGTTGAAGGCAGCCATGGCCATGGCTGCCTTCTTCTTATCTTGTAGAGCCGGCCGGCCGGCGAAAGCTAACGGCAAGCGGCGGAAAATTATTTTTATTATTATTATAATAATAATAATATTATTATAGATTATTTATTTTGATTTTTAATTTTTTTATATAAAAGATTACCTGCAATTACAGGTAAACATTCAGTTTGTCTAAATGCACCAAAGTCAAAAGTTTATGTATTTAGTTGCTACTTTTAAATGTTCAGGGGCCTAATTGACTTCTCATATAAAGTTCAGGGACTTGTTTGACCCTTTTCCCAAAAATGTAATTATAAAATTGAAATCATGTACTCTAATATTAATACTTTGTGAGTTGTGACTTTGTATTGTGTTTTGATTTTTTAAATCTTTATATAATTTACAAGTCTACATGTTTTAATATTTTAGTACTAACTATTAAAGTATTAAATAATTTATAATTACCAATTTTAAATAAGTTTTAACTTTTTTTAAATTAAAACAAAAAATTGACACCTAGGCACTGTGTCCCCAAGCGTCTGAGGAATGTCAAACGATTATTAGGGCATCCTCAATAGTTGGGGATTTTTCCCAGATTTTTGTGGGCCCCAACATCCACCTCATCATCCACTATCTCACTCAATCACAAAATCTCTTCTTCCCATTAGTTTTAAGTTTTTTCACAACTTTTTGTGGACCCACCATTTTATCTACATATTTTAATTATTTCTTTATCTATTATTATTTTTCAAATTATAATTATAAATTTAATAACAATATTATTAATAATTATAAATTTAATAACAATAATAATTAAAAAATTAAATAAAATTAAATTACAAATTAAAAAATTAAAACAAAAAAGTTAAAAAAATTAAGATAAAAATTAAAAACTAAAATTAAAATAAAAAAAAATAAAAAAGAAAGAAAGAAAATGCAACGGCAAGCATAATTTAAAAATAAAAAAGAATAAAACAAAGAAACAAGCATCATGTACAGTAGTGGGGCCATGCCCCACACGCGTCTCCCTCCCATTCCTTTTCTTTTCTAAAAGTCTGACATAACTTTTATATTTGCAGGAGAAAGATTCAGCATCATTTTTACCTTCCCATTTGTTCTCATTTGTTAAGAAGATATTTTACTGTGCCAAAATTAGGGAATGAACCCCTATTGGGGTTGCCCTTACAACCTTGATAAATTTTAAATATTTGGATTCGAGTATGTGGACCCGGTTCCTTAGAATAATTTGCAGCTGATTTGCAGACCCATTGAAATCTATTGTGTTTTACAATTATCGATTGTAGTATTGGGCTTTTGAAGACTACTATGATGCCCACTTCACAATTTAGAAGCCCATAAAACTTCCCACTTTCCACTAGTAAATCTCTATATATATTAAAGCAAAACAATAGGAGCAAAAAAATCCCGCCCAAACCGAACGTCGACGTTTTGGACAAAGCCGCTAAATTTATTGTTTTTGCTTCGGAAAATCAAAGGTCTACGCAGTATAATACCTAAAGTACATAGAAAACATAATTTTTTCAAAATATCTACGACAAATCATTCTCCCATCCAATGGAATTAGAGAATGTATTTAAGGCAATCAGTTTTTCATATGGGACATTGAGCCCACGAACCCATACCTATTCTCTAGGTATTTATTGGTGATGATGATAATGATCAATAACGAAAGGTCATCAGACCTTATATATACAACACATATACAACTACTGAATACATTCGCAATCTCCCTATACAACAGCCTCTCTGATTATTCTTCAATAACAAAAAATGTTTGTCCTTGCTAGCCAGATATCTCCGATGAATACCAAGCAGGCTCTTAGACTACGGGTGGTGCGAGCATATCAGATTCCTGAGAGAAGTGATCCATCGAAGTTTAGATCAAAAGAGGTTGTTTTTCATGATGAAGAGGTAAGTACTCTTTAAAAATAGATAGACAGTCGTTTTACTCATACAGTTCGTATTTTTTTTCCTATATTCATACAGTCCCTATTTTTGTTATTTACACATACACAGGGGTCCTTCTTGCATGCTCATATACCCAAAGAGTACGTGGAAAAGTACCTTAGCAGTTTTGCTGAAGGTTCAGTATATGCTATAAAAATTTTTTGTGTTATCACCAATTTTTACTCATACAAAACCAGCCCACAGAAGTACATGATAAAATTTAACTATCGGACTATGGTTAAGGATTTAAAGCATGTGAAATTTCCTATGAAAATGTATCGGCTGAAGACCTTTAGAGAGATCAAGTCTAATGAAGGCCTTGATGAGAAAATCTTATTTGGTAATCAGTACTCTCATTCTATCTATGGTTTCTAATTATTTATTATTTTGTCTACTATTCTATATTCTAAAGCATTATTTTGTAGATGTTATTGGTCGAGTGATTGAGATACACTGCCCACAGGAGAAACTAATCAATGGCAAGATCTCCAGGCTGATTGACTTCACCATTGAAGATACTGAGTACTACTGAATTCCAGTACCTATGGTTTATTTTCTATTTTAGAGATTTCTGAGTTTCTAATATATTTTCTAAAAATTTTTAGTGGAATACAACTAATGTGTACTTTGTGGGATAAACACGTAAGCAAGATTGAGGCATTCTACAATTCTACTACACAAGAGCTATTATTGGTGTTGATACAGTTTTGTAGGGCAAGGGTGTGTCTAAAAAGTAAGTATATTAAATCCTATAACTGCTCCTAACTTATTCACCAATAAGCCTTTCTAATGTGTATTAGAACATTATTTCCTAAAGGTGGTGATGTCAAGATTTGTAGCTCCTATGATGTAACACAGCTGCTTTTCAACCAAGAATCTCCCCCATTTGAGGAGTTCAGGAAAAAGGTACTTGCATTCTTTTTTTTGCAACTGCAATTTTACATTTAATATGGATTTTGATTTTATGTTATCATTTTACAGTTGATGGGGGTTATACCCTGGTCGGATCGAGTCGTATCGCCCGGTCACCTGACCCGCTTGGACGCCGCTCCGGAAGCCGCCCGGTCAGCCCTTTAGGGTGGATTTCCCGATTGCCCGGTTATTTCTTGAAGTTAGGACGCTCGGCGGGCCCAGCTCCCTTTTGGCTGGTGATCGGGAGAACCGACCGAGCGGGGCTGGGTCCCCCCGTTGGCAGAGGGCTTGCGCCACGTGTGCGACTGCATGTTTGCCTCGGCTAGACCTGGTGCATGGGTGCCACGTGCCCAACATGCTGAAAGGCCGGGTGCTGCTCCCTATGTCTTTTATAAATACCGCATTAAATGCTGGAGAGAGGGACTTTTGGATTAGGTGACTTACTAGATTAGAGAGGATCCCGGTCTCGTCAGGTTGAGGGTACACTCGAAAGTGTCCATCGACGGTTGACCACAAGCCCAGGTCCGTCCCGGCCAGGCCATTGGTCACGAAGCTCGGGTCCGTCCCGATCTCTGTAGGTTGGTGATACACTCGAAAGTGTCCATCGACGATTGACCATAAGTCCGGGTCCGTCCCGGTCTCTTCAGGTTGAGGGTACACTCGAAAGTGTCCATCGACGGTTGACCACAAGCCCGGGTCCGTCCCGGCCAGGCCATTGGTCACGAAGCTCGGGTTCGTCCCGGTCTCGTCAGGTTGAGGGTACACTCGAAAGTGTCCATCGACGGTTGACCACAAGCCCGGGTCCGTCCCGGCCAGGCCATTGGTCACGAAGCTCGGGTCCGTCCCGGTCTCTGTAGGTTGAGGGTACACTCGAAAGTGTCCATCGACGGTTGACCACAAGCCCGGGTCCGTCCCGGCAAGGTCAAAGCCCTACGATGGTAGGCAAAGCCCGGGTCCGTCCCGGCCAGGCCATTGGTCACGAAGCTCGGGTCCGTCCCGGTCTCTGTAGGTTGGTGATACACTCGAAAGTGTCCATCGACGGTTGACCATAAGCCCAGGTCCGTCCCGTTCTCGTTGAGTGCCCATCAACAAAGTTATTGAGCCCGGATCCGTCCCGGCCTCGTTGAGTTGGTGGTACACTAGGGGTGATGAACACAGAGAAGGTAAAAGCTTAATGCAAAAATCGTCAACCCGACATAGAGGGGGTCGGGCTCCCTGTACATAGCTCAACCGGGCACAATCACGGGGCCGGTTCCCGTCCTAAGTGCCTACGCATCAGGCGGAGCTTGAGAGTGAGGTCCTCCGGTAGGCGGGTCGGTGGCAGGCAAGCTATCGAAGGGCTCCGGGCCGGGATCTGGAACTTCAGCCGGCAAGACCCCCAAGACCAGAGCCAGGTCGTCGTCGTCGAGTGAGGAGGCCAGAGCGTCCCGATCTTCTTTCTGTGCACGGCGCTGACCGGCGCTGAAAGCCCACTTGGCCAGAGTCCAAGCCAGCTCCTCGCCGACCGGATTCCTCAGGAAGTGGCGGAAGAAGGCCTCGCCTTCGGCCCGGTCGCGACACACCCGAGCTGCCAGCTCTTCCGGACTATCCAGCAGCTTTTGGACCTCAGCAGCCCGGGTTTCCACCTTGACAAGCCGGTCGTTGGCGGACCGCAGCTTCCGGCGGGCCTCCTTGGCTTCCTTTTCGTAGCGGTCGGCGGCCTTCTGAAGGGCCTCGGCTTCCTCGGTCGCTTTTGCCCGGCGGAAGAGGTTCACCAAGGTGCGTGTCACCTGCAATAGGTAAAATTCCCGGACCCGGGGGGAAAGCATGAAGGAAACGGTCGAAAAAGATGTCAGTTAGAGTTTGAAAGAGTGGAACGGGCAACTACCTGCACGACGTCGGCGGCACCCCGTTCGCCAACCTCGTTAAGTGTCAACCCCTTCCCATCATCTCCGGCCGGGATGATGTCGATCAACCGGTTGAGCTTGGCCGCCGGGTGCTCTCCGCTCATCAGGACGTCGATGACCGGCGTCTCGTCGGGGGAACCCGACCTTTTGCTCCGCTTCAGCGGGGGGACTTCCTCCACCTCAACGCTGGTATCCCTCTCCTTCCCTTTCCGGGTATCGGTACGGATGACCTGCAGGTCCTGCTCGGAGCTGGCCTGTTGAGCCGTGGTGACGTCAAGCGGGATGCTGGTTGGGACGGCCGACCCTGAGGAAGCCGGGTTGGCCTGGGCGGACTTCTTCCCCCCGACGCGATCTTCGGCCGGGGCCCGCTGGGCGGGGCTGGTGCGGCGATGAAAGCCTTGTCGAAACCCATTCCTGAAATCAAAGGAGAACAGTTAGCGACAAGTAATCGGGCAAGCCGGCCTAACCCGGGCGAGGAACAAGGTTGCGACTAACGATGACCTCCGGGCGTAGACGTAGGACCGGGAGGCGGCCGTGCGATGGTGATATGTATCCGTTGAGACTCGTACTTCTCCGTCAAGTCGTACCGGGGAGGCTCGAGCCGGGCTGCGGCGAAGGCCTCCGGGGTCTTGAAGATGTGATAATCATAGAATTCGGAGGATATCTTCTCGGTGGCCTCTGCGAGCTCGGGCGTCTCGTCCGGGGTGACCTGTTCCAGGTAGTGGCTGGCCCATTCCCGAGGAACCGGGAGGTCCCAGGTGTACTTGACGGAGAACAACCTCTTCTTCCAGCCGCGGTTGTTGTCCGGGAGGTTGAGTATGTTGCATACGTGCCCGCGCGACTGAGCCTGGAGGAAACCAGACCCGTACCGGGGGGCCAAAGCCCGAACGGAGTAGACGAAGTCGAACAGCTCCGTCGTGCATTCAAGACTGTGCCTGGCGCAGATTTGGGGAAAGCAGGCGATGATGCGGTGAGCGTTCGGGGTGACCTGGCCGGGAAGAACGCCGAAGTGCTCGAGGAATGCGAGCAGGAAAGGGCTGAACGGGAAGGTGAGGGGCGCCCTAAGGGAGTCGTAGTGAAGCCCAAGCCACAGCCCGGTAGTCCGGTCAGCGATGTTCCCGAGCGCCCGGTCCGTGTTAAAGACGACCCGCCCGCCTAGTATGGAGGAGATTGACTTCGCGTCAGCCCGGCTGAGTAGACTAGTATGGCGCCTGACGACGGTGTCGTTTAGATAGACGAGTCTGCGTCCAGATGCGGAGGCGACCGGGGCGGACGACGACGCTGGTGCTCGATCCCTCATGTTCTCCGCCAGCCGGTCGCGCGAAGACGGGGACAAGTCAGGACGAAGGGCTCCGACGATGGTTCGCGGAGATTTGCCCGAGCCTGAAGCATCGCTAAAAATGACCCGGGGGGACTTTCCCCGGTTGGACGGTCCGACCTTCGACGGGCTCAGCACTTGCACGCCGCTGGACTCGACCTCGCCTTCGTCACCTCCCGATCGTTCGGCGACAAAACCGCTCCGCGCTTCGGACGCCTCGGAAAGGTGGAGGTCGGTAGCAACGGACGGGGAGCGGGCCGTGGCGTACCGGTCAATGAACTCGGAGGTGCTGGTGGTGCCTCGCGAAGGGCTCGCTCCCGCATCGGACTCGTCTCCGGTAGCGTAGTCCCGGCCAGAAATATTTTGGCTATCCGAGCTGGTCATCCTCTCCTTAAAGTAAAAGAGGGGGATGGGAGGGCGTTTCAGTACAAGCGCCATGTTTTGAGGCCCGACCTATTTCTACGGGGTAGATAAATCTTAGGCTAAAAATTTAAAGGAGCAGAGGCGGGACCTTACCGGTTGAAGAAACGGCAGTAGGCTCGCGGGTGAGTTGCTCGGCAGTTGTCGTAGGCGATCGGGAAGCTCTGAGTTCGTTGAAGAAGCGAAAAGTTCCAAATGGGCCCCAAGGCCTCCTTTTATAGGAAAAAGAGGCGGGAAAAAGTGAAGTTTGGAAGAGAAGCTAAGGCTCAGATCTCAAGGCCCGTGGATGGGCGACACGTGGCTAACCGCGCCCCGCGTGCCGTCGCTTGGGCTCTGTAACCGCAAGTCCCGGCGGTCGGGGCGGGCCCGGGGGGCCGGCTAAGATTCAGCCCGGACCCCCCCGTCGAGCCTCGTCGGAGTCCAGGCTGGGGGGACTATATGATGGGGGTTATACCCTGGTCGGATCGGGTCATATCGCCCGGTCACCTGACCCGCTTGGACGCCGCTCCGGAAGCCGCCCGGTCAGCCCTTTAGGGTGGACTTCCCGATTGCCCGGTTATTTCTTGAAGCTAGGACGCTCGACGGGCCCAGCTCCCTTTTGGCCGGTGATCGGGAGAACCGACCGGGCGGGGTTGGGTCCCCCCGTTGGCAGAGGGCTTGCGCCACGTGTGCGACTGCATGTTTGCCTCGGCTAGACCTGGTGCATGGGTGCCACGTGCCCAACATGCCGAAAGGCCGGGTGCTGCTCCCTATGTCTTTTTTAAATACCGCATTAAATGCTGGAGAGAGGGACTTTTGGATTAGGTGACTTACTAGATTAGAGAGGATCCCGGTCATCATATACGATCGGTCTGTCTGTGACTCTATTGTAACCTACGCATATCAATACACGGTTATTTTATTCACATCAACAGTATTAGCCAAGAACAGACTCCAATGCGCAGTATAATTTCCTAGTCAAGTTTTAAGGAATGTAGCTTCTATTCAGTTTCCCTATTTGCTGATATGGAAGTTCGTACTATCAATGACATCTACAGAGACAAGGAGGTAAGACTGTTTTAAGGGATGTAGCTCCTAAGCATGTTAAAACAGCAAATGATTACTTCAACCTAAACGTTATACCAAACAATTCGTATAATGTTTTGATTTTGTAGATGGAGTTTTCCACTTAATAATATACCTCTACGTCTTTACTTTGTTGCAATCCATGTTAGTGTAGAGTTCTGGCATGTTTAAGCTGCAATTAATGTAAAGCATGAGCTACATAAATAATATCACAACTCTGCAGCCCTCTATAGTATACATTAGACCCAACACCTTTAAAATGTTTAGAGGCTATATATAGAGATTCTGCCACTTAATAATATACCTCTATGGAGTGGAGTTTGTTGCAATCCATGTTTTTAATTTGTTGCAATCCATGTTAGTACAAACTTCTGGCAGGTTTAACCTGCAATTAATGTAAAGCATGAGCTACATAAATAAAGACACAACTCTGCAGCCCTCTATAGTATACAGTTGTGTTATTACCTCATTCACTTAATTAAAAATATACCTCTATGATATTACTTGATTGCGATCCATGCTTTCAGTTCTGCTCAAAGCTGCACAATAGATCTAATTTCTTGGCTGAATCACATGTACTAGCTAATAAGCATGAGATGGAAAAATATTAACACAAATGTGTTGTCCTATATAACTTATTCAGATTAATCAGTCTACCAGTGTGTAGTTATCTCTTTCAGGTCTGGTGTTAATTGTTTTGGAAGCAAATACCACATGTTCACCCACAAACCTGCACAATCAAACACATATTGATGTTTTAATTAATGTTAGATAAAAATTGATGGGAATATTTGTACTAAATAATCACACATATACTGATTTAACAGTGTTATATACTATGTTAACAGTCTAACATATTATGCAGTTTGGCGATTTTTGGGTGGCAGCAAGGATTGTATTCATTGATGATCCAGAGTGGTACTATGCTTCGTGTAGAACAAAGGGTTGCAACAAAAAACTGAAACTCAAAGGAAAGTGGCTATGGTGTAGTACATGTGACAGAAATTGGGGTGACGGGACACTCAGGTACAGAATTAAGGTTAGGGTTGTGGACTTGGATGGCAATGCTCCTTTCCTTCTATGGGACAGGGAGTGCCTCGATCTACTTGGAATTAGCGCGGATGATCTGAAGGATACCCATACTAAGGTACAAAACTATATTTCAATCTTAGATAGACTATTAACTTAGTAGTACCTGAACCAGATAAGTTGTGTTTTCAAATACTGTTTCACATATGGTATATAGGAAAATTAAAATCTATACTAACTTTTTATGTAGGGACGGAAGGGTCTACCTAAGGAGCTCGAGACTCTAATTGGACTGAATCTCCTATTTCGAATTGCCGTTCGCAAAGAACAGTTCCAGAATTATCTCAATGCTTTCCCTGTTATGAGGATCATCACTGATGAAAAGATTGTAGAAAAGCATTGCCCAGAACTAATAGGAGTAAGGGACAGGGATCTCAGTTCAAAGTTGGAGTTGGAGCTTACAGATGAGGACCTATGGGATCTAGAGGTATACTTGGGGTTACCGAGTAACATGTTGTACCAATTAGTTTATAGTTTATTATTATTGGTGACTTAAACATTTTGAACTTCTGATTTTGTAGGAAGCAGACCAAGCAAATGAAGCTGAAAGTCCACTCCAAGTTGTTGCACAGAGACTCAATGCAGAGAATAGTGTTGAGAATGGAACAGTTAAGAGATCACTAATCAATGAATTTTCAAGCACACAAAGTTCAAAAAAAAAAAAAGCAAGGAATGTGTGGTCAAGATTGAGAAGGAAGCAGATGTGTAATGATTTTAATGATTGACAATGTGCTCTATTGGTGTCTTTTTTGTAACAATGGTTTTTATGTTGACATTTTGGTGACTCGCTCAAACAGCTAGACTGAAAGCATGGATTGTTTTTGGATTATATTCGTAGATCATTGTTTTTTTATGAATTCTCAGAATTTGTTTCTAGGAGCTGTTATGGGTACTAGATCTGTTATATTCCTTTTGCAGATTTTTTTTTTTCAGGTAGTGTGGCACAATGATGGAAAATGAATGCAGATGTATGGTAAAAGAGTTCAAGAGATGGCTGACATGGCAGAACAAAATGAAGAAGATGGCAGAGATATCACTAAAAATGGAAAGTGATGGCACAGAAATCAGTTGAAGATACAGATAACATCTAGCAAACAGACCATCAAATTGTATTTGTAGTGAAATGTAATACAAACAAAGGACTACTTTTTAGATGCACAACATTAGTGTAGATTAATGTAATGTCATTTTTAATGTAAAATATTATTCTATCTTATCCAAGCTCCAGCTAATAATTCAAATACTCCATTTTGTGCCATAATTAACAATTCCCTTACATTAAATACTAACAGCAAATCAACTCATTGTCATCCAAAATTAACTCCACTAATAATGTAAACAGAATATCAAATTTTAATAGTGTATAGAAACCATCCAAAGTAATACTGTACTCTAACTTGAAAATTTGATAGTAGTATTAAAACAGTACAATGACAATCCTTGCTGACTATGCAACACCCTTAGAAGTTTGATAAAGTAAAAGTAATTAAAATAGTTTTAAAACTAAGTGCTTAAACATATTTTGGTAATTTTGGTAATGAATATATAGATTTTATTCCAAGTAGGCATGATTAGACCTGATTATGCACTTACCAGCCTCTGTCATCTTAAAGCTCACTTCAAAGGACTTTGAAGTGAACTTCCAGGTCCTTTATGCATGTCCTTTTAAGTGAACTGCCAGGTCCTTTTAACTGAACTTCCAGGACCTTTATGCAACATTTGCTTTATAGCATCCTACCTGCAGTTTAACCAAAAAAGTGATTGATTAAAAATATTAATGGCAGCCACATCGTAGTCAATTTCTAACACATGGATTAAGTTCACAAAGTTAATTATGGACTCAGTGATGAATAGTGAATTACCCTTGAATTCACCAACTTTAGGATTAGGAAGCCTCCTAAATTAATGTTAGTTGAAGACCGTTGGTGTAGCAGCTTACCTGCAGTGGCCAAATAGTGAATTAAAGAGATAACTCATTATATACACCATCTAATTTAGTAACAATGAAAGGGTATTATTGTTGTTAATCACATTATATTGAGCATTTCTAAGTCTATTAAAACTTATCTTTGAGCCGTGCTTAGTAAATGTTTGGCCAATAGTCTTGACAGCCTTTTTGTTATTAGGAAGACTACTCAAAGAATTAGAGTTGAATACAGATTGTGTATATCAGTCCTGCAATTGGAGAATTTCAATTCACTGAATTAAATCTTATAAACATCACCTAATGTAAGAACACTGAAAGAATATTATAGTCAACCTAAAGAACATTATATTAGAGGATTTGATAAATGTAACACTTATCTTTTGGCCCAAGCGTAACAACCTCTTTAGTACAATTCCCATTATGTGCTAAAAACATATCACAGCATCTATTAAGTCTGTGCTCTATTCCACTGAGGGTCATCCAGTTAATAGTTGCTTTTTATGGTGAAACCCAAAGCAACTTATTGGAAAAAAAATTTAACTCCCTGACATTAGAGCACCAAACTGTTTGTTACCTGGAAAACAACATATATAAAATTTAAGTCCCTGACATTAGAGAAAATAAACATTATTAGTATCCAAACAAAGTTGTGAATTCCAGTTGGACAATGAAAAAAAAATTAGTCAGAATATCAATGAGCTAATATATTGATGGCACATTGCATTAAGTAGCTGATCAAAACCTTTTAGTATTCCAAAAGCAATTAGGATTGCCATTTTCCAATGTTGTCTCCAAATATTAATTGACTACTTTAGGCCTATATATTCAACAATTAGGTATTATTAACCTCTGTTGAGCACCACAACTACACAAATCCTATACTGGGCAATTCATCTCCCCTAGAGTACATGAGGAAACTTACATCTTCAACCACAATTGGTTCGAAGCGCAAGCATCCCAGCAACAACCAAGGTAAATCTATTGACTTCTATCTTTATTCTTCTATTCGGTCTTAGTTTATACAACTATTATACGATTTTTTTTAACTCTACTAAAAAGACTAAAAACGATCTCAACCAATATTAACGGATTGTATGTGTTATCGAAACACAAGATTAATCGCACAAAATAAAACTCATCAGATAGATTTCCAGGTTACCAAAATCGAGATGCATCTCTACCATATTAAGTTGAGATTTACAAATATACTATATAAACTATATAAACGAGAATTAGATCTGAAAACTTAGAACAGTTAGGGTTAGAAATCAATACCCAATTTTTGTGGGGATTGTCCACATCGTGTGTTTGAATAGCCGCTTCTCCAAAATGGTTGACCGCCTGATAACATCGCACACATTTCTGTTCACCTTGGAGATCACTAGCTACGCATGCACTTCGGCGAACATTAGGTTCACCGGATTCACAGTACCATCCTCTTCATCGTCAATCCATAGCCAAGAGATAGGAAATGACCGTCGAGAAATGATTAATACCTTAATCGAGTCTCACAATCGAACCCTAAACCCTTTATCATGTCCATTTTTAGTGAGAGAAACCACCGTACTTCACCAGCGACGTAGGCTCACAATGGAGCCTTCTAGGAGATTAGTAAAGTGACTCCTGCTGCCTACATCACGGGGTGATTGCCAAAACAGTCTAATAATAATAATAATAATTATTATTATTATAAAATAGAGTTAAAACATCCCAGAAATTGTTAACTTTCAAATATATTATTAATAATATTAATAATAATAATATTATTAATAATATGATTAATATTTTTATGGTTATTCTTCTTATAATAATTATTATAATTGTTTGAATAACATTAATCTTCGTCATTAATATTCTTATACTAATTTGTTATTATTGCGATTTGTTAACATCAAATGTTTATAACATTACACGTTTAAAGGATATTGTATTATATAATATTAAGATATATAATATTTTTATTGTGCAATAGTAAAGTATTAATATTAGTTTAATATTAATACTTTAATTATAATTAGGAATAGAATCATTCCGTATGTATCCAAAAAATTGAGGTACCAAACATATCATGTATGGTTATATCATTGTTTTTTTTCCTTTACAGAGAATGAGAATCGTACTGTCATGGATGCATTGTACATGTCGTCCATTGAATGCAACAACAATACACACAATCGTACACCCCTACGTGCTGTTTTCCAAAGTTCGCTAAGTACGCCTTTAAGTATTGTGAAAAATGGTAAGTGTGTTCTATATGATAGTGAAATTATATAATTAATTGTTGCTAACCATATTTTGGTTATGAAATTCACAGCTTCGACCGCAATTCGTACGACAATTCGGAATTCGCCTTTGCAAGATTTTGGTAGCAGAATACCATTAAGCAACATATCCAATAGTACGAATATAAACAATCATTTTTAACGTCTATAAATAATTTTAAAGATGTGATAATTAACATCCTAACAAGTTTTTTGTACGGCTCTTATATAATTAAAGAAAATATCGCTCGGGTTGACGGGGATTGTGAAAAAGCACCTATTACGAAGCGCCACAATCATTCGATCGACTTAAATAGAACCCCAGATTCACAACTAGGTATCAAAATTTCCACTCCATCGATGTATTTATTCCTTATAGCAAACTACACATTCTAATTACGAATTCTGTAGCCATTTATAATTTTATATTGGTTAATAATAATCGTGGTTGTTGAAATGCACAGTATCTTCTCCGTTACGGATGACCACAAATACTACACCAACGCAAGAATTGAGTAGCAGAATGCCATTTAGCAACATATCGAATGGTATGAACTTCAACAAATATATTGTAATAAGATTACTAAGGAATTATATATATAGTCAAATTGAATAGTTATTATTCTAACGAATCTGATTAAAAATATGTATTATTAAAGCAAATTGCGGTCAAGTCAATTTGATCCGTAGCAATCCACCTAAAGCTGACCGTCCAAGTTTCTGCTTCGACTTAAATCTATCGCCAGAGTCGCAAATAGGTATAAACATATATTCAAGAAGAGTTTTTTAGTTGTCACACATTTATAATTATTCATTTAATATATAACCAAATTAATTACAATTGGATATTGTTCTTTTAGGGATGGAAAGTAATTATTGTATTACAAATGACAATAATATGAAAAGAGTCCTGGTAGAGTCAGAGAGTGAAACCATCCCGCAGTACCGCAATTTGTTACCAGACTTTCAGGAAGTTGTTGAACCGTTACATGACAATATGCCCTCAGTTAATGGTGAGTTCATATGAAATGTTGTAGGACAAAAACGTATTATATTTGGACTACAGTAAAATACATTATCATGCTAACTAATATATTTTTTTTTTTAGATTTTTATTTCGATCTTGGTGATCCAGAGTATCTTTGCGAGCATTGTAATTCAATTTTTTGGTACACTGAACGGTCAAGCAATTCAAAGTCATGTGAAAGTCCAAAATACTCTGCGTGTTGTGTAAATGGTAAAATAAAGTTGCCATTTATGACAAAGCCTCCTCAAAAGCTGTATGAGCTATTCTTTACATCAAACGATAAAAACAAATGTTTTTTAAAGAATATAAGGTCATATAACAGCATGTTTTGCTTTACGTCGATGGGTGAAAAAATAGATAGAACTATTAACAACGGAACATCGCCGCCGATATTCCGTATCAATGGTCAAAATTTTCATCGGATTGGAAGCTTATTACCTTCACATGGCATTCAACCGAAATTTGCCCAATTATACATTCACGATACAGAGAATGAGATAGAAAATCGCTTAAACTCTTTGAGGTATACTCTTTTGTGTTACTGAAATATTTTTGGTATATTATGGATTAATACAGAGTATCTTATATTATATATTCTTCCTTTTTTAGTGCCGAAAATAATGGTTCTGCGTTGCATAGTGAGGTAGTACATGACATTAAGCAAGTTCTAGATGAACACAATGTGTTGGTTAAGTCATTCCGAATGGCCAAGTCGTTTCTGGAGTCTAATCCTCAAAGTCAAATCAGAATGAGATTAATAGGAAAGAGGACTAAAGATGCCAGGACTTATGCGTTACCAACTACTTCCGAGGTTGCTGCACTCATTGTTGGAGATATAGACCCTTACATGGGTCAACGTGATATTGTTGTCGAGTGTAGGTCTGGAGCACTGAAACGAATAAATGAATTAAACCCGGCCTATTTACCATTGCAATACCCAATCTTATTTCCATACGGGGAGGATGGTTTTCGAGAAGATATACATTTTGCAACACTTGGTACAAAACGAGATTTTTCAAGAAAGAGTGTTTCACAAAGAGAGTACTTCACGTTCCGTATCCACGAAAGATCAAATGAGATCTCAACAATAATGTATGCCAGAAGGTTATTCCAACAATTCTTGGTTGATGCGTATACTATGGTTGAATCTTCGAGGTTGCTCTATATTAGGTCAAATCAAAAAGCTCTGAGGTGTGAGGCGTACAAAGGTTTGTCTGATGCGTTGACCCGCGGTGAAGTTCAACCCAACTCTCAAGGGAAAAGAATAATATTACCTTCAAGTTTCACTGGAGGAGCAAGATACATGATACAGAACTATCAAGACGCCATGGCAATTTGCAGATGCATAGGTTATCCAAATCTGTTTATTACTTTTACATGTAATCCTAAATGGCCCGAGATACAACGATTCTTGGAGAAAAGAAACTTGAAAGCTGAAGATCGTCCCGACATTGTCTGCCGTGTTTTCAAGCTGAAGCTAGGCTGTTTAATTAAAGAAATAAAGAATGGAAAACTATTTGGTCGTGTAAAGGCAGGTGCGTACTGCATGAGCTTATAATTGTCATTTTTTAGAATAATAATTATTATTATATGAAACTTCTATCTAACAATATGAATGCTTTTCTGACAGTAATATACACAATTGAATTTCAAAAACGTGGTCTTCCGCATGCCCACATATTACTGTTCCTACAAGCGACCAACGACTTTGCCAACCCGGCTTTTATGGACACGATCATTTCAGCCGAGATTCCCGACAAGTGTTCAGACATTGAGTATTACAAAGCTGTCGAAGAATTCATGCTGCACGGCCCATGCGGTGCTGCAAGGACTAAATCCCCGTGCATGGCAAATGGCAAGTGTTCAAAGTATTTTCCAAAAAGATACATTGATGCATCACATTTTGAACAAGATGGTTACCCGTTGTATCGAAGAAGGGATGATAAGAGGACAATAAAAAAGAATGGAATAGAGTTGGATAATAGATATGTTGTACCACATAAACGGTACTTGCTTTTGAAATACAAATCTCACATTAATGTAGAGTGGTGTAACCAATCTAGGTCAATCAAGTACTTCTTCAAGTACGTAAACAAGGGCAACGACCGTGTAACTGCTGAGTTTTATAAGACTTCGATGGATGAAGCGGGTAATGAGATTGTGGATGAGATAAACATGTACTATGATTGCAGATACGTATCTGCATGCGAAACAGCCTGGAGATTGTTTAGTTTTGAAGTCCAGTATAGGACTCCCCCGGTTGAGCGATTAAGCTTCCACTTGTCGGATTGCCAATCAGTTGTTTTCCAAGACGATGATAGTATTGATAATGTACTCAATAGAGAAACCGTTGGTCAAAGTATGTTTAATGCATGGTTTTTAGCCAACCAGAATTTCAAAGAAGCGAGTTTGTTGACTTACATTGAGATGCCTACCAAATTTGTTTGGAAAAAAGACATCCGTGAATGGCATCCAAGAAAGACCAATAGATCCTCAATTGGTCGAATATTCTATGTACCTCCAGCTTCAGGTGAAATATATTATTTGAGATGTCTATTGAACATAGTCCGTGGTCCAAAAAGTTTCAAAGATATTAGGACAGTTAACGGTGTTGAGTACTTGACCTTTAGAGATGCGTGTTATGCTCATGGTTTGCTAGACGACGATAAAGAGTACGTTGATGCTATAAATGAGGCAAGCTACTGGTCAACTGCACATTCATTGAGGAAGCTATTTGTTGTTTTACTAACATCATCCTCAATTATTAGACCCAAAAATGTTTGGAATCAAGTTTGGCAACATCTGTGTGAAGATGCTCAACACTATCAAAGAAGAATATTAAAACAGCAAGGTAAAATAACTTTTTTTTTACAATATACTTTTCAACAATGTTCTTAGCTTATAAATATAACAATTTGGATGTTGCTATTGTAATAGATTTGGTCTTAACAGAGGAAGAGAAAAAGAACTTTGGATTATTGGAATTGAAAAACCTGTTGGGGCAACAGAACAAGTCTTTAAAAGACTTTCCTCCGATGCCCACACCAAGTACTGATAATACAAGGTTGTTTCAAAATCGATTGGTTTTTGAAGAACTGAATTACAATTCGGAACAATTGAAGACAGATTCTGAACTGATGTGTGCCAAACTAACAGAAGACCAGAGTCTCATTTTTGATACTGTTATGCAAGATATTGCAACCAATAAAGGTGGATTATTTTTTGTTTATGGATACGGTGGGACAGGAAAGACTTTTTTTATGGAGAGCGTTATCCGCTTCAGTCCAGTGCAAAGGCCAGATCGTTTTAAATGTCGCATCAAGTGACATAGCTTCTTTGTTGTTACCCGGTGGCCGAACAGCTCACTCGAGATTTGCAATACCTATTGCAATAAATGAGGACTCTACCTGTAACATTAAACAAGGTAGCGACTTGGCTGAATTGTTGATAAAAACGAGCTTGATAATTTGGGATGAAGCTCCCATGATGCACAAACATTGCTTTGAAGCGTTAGATCGAACCATGCGAGATTTGTTGCGTTTTGTTGACCCTAATAGTGAAATGAAGACGTTTGGTGGTAAAATAGTCGTCCTTGGTGGAGATTTCTGCCAAATTCTTCCAGTAGTTCCAAAAGGTACACGTCAAGACATTCTTTCGTCCGCTATAAATTCATCATATTTATGGGATAGTTGCAAAGTTTTAAGATTGACTAAAAACCTAAGGCTAAGTTCGGTACACAACGGTGTGAACCGGCAGGCATTACAAGAGTTTGCTAACTGGATTGCCAATATCGGCGATGGAAAGCTTGGTGGGAGGAATGACGGATATGCAGAGGTTCAAATACCTAATCACATGTTAGTATCATCCGGGGGAAACGACATTAAAGCAATTGTGGAAAGTACATTTCCAATGTTTGCAGTTGGAAACACTGACCCTGAGCATCTGATAGGTCGTGCTATACTTGCACCATCGCTAGACGTTGTCAACGCAGTTAATGAATATATGACTGAGTTGCATAATGCCGAAAGCAGGTCCTACTATAGTTCAGACGCAGTATGCAAAGCCGACGGTGATAATGGTATACTTGGAGATGTACACACACCGGAATTCCTAAACAGCATTCGTGTGTCGGGTCTACCAAATCATACACTGAATTTGAAAATTGGCTCACCAGTAATGTTAATGAGAAATATTGACCATTCTCTTGGGTTGTGCAATGGAACTCGGTTGATAATCACAAAGTTAGCAGACCATGTTATTGAAGGCGAGCTTCTCACTGGTCCCAACAAAGGTACAAAAGTGTTAATACCCAGAATGTCAATGTCACCCTCGGATCCAAGATTGCCGTTCAAGTTTCAACGAAGGCAATTCCCATTGATGCTTTCATATGCGATGACCATAAACAAAAGTCAAGGCCAAACGTTGAGTCATGTAGGGTTAATACTAAAGAAACCGGTTTTTGTACACGGTCAGTTGTACGTAGCTGCATCTCGGGTTAATAATCCAGACGGTCTGAAAATACTGATTGTAAAAGACTCAAGTGCAACTACTACATCAACCACTAATGTTGTATATCATGAAGTTTTCAATAATTTGTAATTTTGTAATGTATTGTTTTTATATTACCAACACCTTGCAACTATTAGTAAGACACAATTTTCATACGTTTTTGCACTGTATTCCCCAATATATCACACAAATATTAACATAAAATACACACAACTAAAAATGTTTAAATAACATCCCGTGCATTGCACGGGTCATATACTAGTCTATATAAAGAGAGAATATTGGGGGTGGGTGGAAGCTTATTCAATTTGATTTACGGAAAAATCTACAACTACTATTTGAATGTGCATTCTAAATCTTCCATTTTAATAAGTCAAAAAAATAAAAAATGTCAATATGATTAGGCGTTTCATTTGGGGAGGAGACAGTGAAACCAAGGTGATTAGCCTGGTTAAATGGGAGTCAGTGATGCGAGCTAAGCAGGTGGGGGACTGGGGCTTCCAAAATTGCATGATGTCAACTTAACCTTCATGGCTAAGTTGGGATGACGTATGAGTATGATGACAGAGTCTGACAGCATGTGGGTAAAGGTCTGAAGGCAGAACAAGTGCGAAGGCAAATGGGCGGTTCTCGAAGGGCTTCGCATGGCAGCAAGGTTTGGAGCGCGAAAGATCATAGTTAAGAGCTATTCCATTGGCACAATACGGGGTATCCATTCGATCGCCCAGGGTCCAGGAAGATGGCGGAACATTATGCTTGTTATCAAACGTAAGAGTTGTCACTTTGAGGCAATGGAGTACATGAACGTTTTTAGAGAGCAAAATAGGGTAGCGGACAAGCTAGCGGAGTCTGCCCTCACCCATGCGCTTGGTAACCAGATCATTGTTCATCCGCCCTCGTTTGTTCAGGCTTTGCTCTGGGAGGATAAGATTGGGGTAAGAGTGCGACGCAAGAAAACTAGTAGTAGGACGACCGTGATGCACCATTAGATTCTCCACCGGGTTAAACCCTCCTTCTGTTCCAAAAAAAAAAAAAAATCATTTTCTTTAAAATATCTACAATTTTATTTGCGATTATGAAAACTTGAACACTGCATAAAGGTATACATTGACTAAACTTGTATAATAACTCGCAAACCATATAAAAGAGTGTGGTGCAATGGTGCATAAGACACATGGGAATGCGAATTAATACAAACTCAATGACAATGTCCTCATTGGTTAGCTAGGAGGCTCGATCTGGCATTCTTATTTATTAAGATGAGCGCGAATAGTAGTGCTAATTAAATAGAAGGAATAAGGTCCAAATTGTGCCCTGATCGAAACGTGAAAGTGCAATTAGGTCCCTGAACGTAAAAAAAGTGCAATTACCCCCCTCAACACCTCAAATATGTGCAATTTGACCTGATAGCAGGTTAACATCCCATCTAGCAGGTTGCATGTGTGACGTGGATGATGATTTGGCATTTTTTTTTGGAAAGATGACTTGGCATTTTTTTTTAATTTCCTTCTTTTGTCTTCTTCTTTACAAAACAACTAACTCTAGCAATTGTAATATTCCACCATCGATATCTTCTCTCAAATTTACAAGCAGGATAAATTTCATGAAAAAATATTCAATTTTACATAGTTATATAAACAACGAACAAGTTAATAGCTTTCACGAGTGTGGTTTGGGAATTTCTGATGCAGGTACACGGTGAATGGAATTTCTGATGCAGGTACACGGTGAATGGAATTTCTGACGCAGGTACACGATGAATGGAATTTCTGATGCAGGTTTGGGAATTTTGATGCGTGGTTTGGAAATTTCTATTGAAGCTTTGCCTTAATACACGGTGAATGGAAGAAAAGGAAATTAAAAAAAAAAATGCCAAGTCAGCATACACATCATTATATAACCGGTTGGATGGATGTTAACCTGCTATCAGGTCAAATTGCACATATTTGAGATGTTGAGGGGGGTAATTGCACTTCTTTTACGTTCAGGGACTAAATTGCACTTTCACGTTTCGTTCAGGGGCCAATTTAGACATTATTCCTAAATAGAATCTAGGTTAAACAATGGGACGTGGCGTTGTTTCATGTGTGAGATCGTTGAGGTGTGTGAGAATATGTGATTTTGAAATAAGATTAGAGTAGCGAATAAACTAAGGGCATCCACTATGGTTTTCTTTTCTTTTAAAATTGTAGGCTCAACTCTTCCATATTATCTTATAATCTCCTTTTATTTTTATTTTTATTTTTCTTTGATCATTTTTTTTTTTGGCCTTACTCATTCAAACACCTACATACCATATATTATTTTATTCACTTTTCTTTGGATCGTTATGCTGTGCATCCGTATGCACCATGCATGGTGCATACGGATGCAAAAACGACGTCATTTTATTAAAAATGCGCATCCCACTTAAAAAAAAAATTCAGTTTCGATTCTCCTGTTGTTCATTCATTCTGGAATTTTAGTTCATAGATTCTGAAATTTTAGTTCATAGATTCTGGAATTTTAGTTCATTGATTATGAATATTTAGACGTGAATCGAAATTGATTTTTTTTTCATTCATTATGGATATTTAGTTCATTCATTATGGATATTTAGTTCATTCATTATGGATTTTTAGTTCATTCATTCTGGAATTTTAGTTCATCGATTCTGGAATTTTAGTTCATCGATTCTGGAATTTTAGTTCAAATTATGCACAATATATTGTTGTTGCTGGGAATCGAAACTGATTTTTTTTTTAAAGTGAGACGCGCGTTTTTAATAAAACGACGCCGTTTTTGCATTCGTATGCACCATGCATGGTGCATGGTGCATACGGATGCACAACATAATTTGCCCTTTTCTTTCCAAAAGGTTGAACCTCAACCCTAAGGGCCCCCACACCCCGGCCCGACAGAGCATCTATGATGATGTAAATCATGGTAACTCAACTGAACATGAAACACAGAGGCTAGACCTTTGCTTACTGTGCACAAGGAGCTCCCCCACTTTTCAATAATTAATAATTTCAACTTTATAATAATAATTGTGATTTTAAATAAAAATAAATTTAAATAACAAAACAAAAAATTTGGAATTAAATTTTAAATACAATTTTTTTTGAAATAGTATATATATATATATATATATATATATATATATATATATATATATATATATATATATATATATATATATATACACTAGTTTTTTACGTGCATTGCGCGATTGGGATAATGCCCAATTTTTATTTTTATTTTGTTTTAAATAAGTACTTTAAAGTATATTAAGGAAATATTATATTGGAATTGAATGTTGAATTTGCGTATTTAAATAGGTAATTCTAAGTTTACAAATGCAAGATAATATAGTCAAGATTGATTATAATTGTCAATAAAATAATTGTATATGTATGGTTGAAACCAAATACGCGACATAAAGGAGAGCAAAATAAAAATTAGGGCATAATATAATAAATACATACTAATATTGAAGAGTTAACTGCTGATTGCCAAACAAGGATATTGCGAGGTAGTTTCTCCCTTCAATTTGGTGTGTGATTTGAGTACTCTTTTTGTCAATAAATACCCCAAGTTCGTAGTTAATATAATTGGCTTATTTATATTTTTTTTATTTTTTAAAAACAATTATTATTATTATTATTATTATTATTATTATTATTATTATTATTATTATTATTATTATTATTATTATTGTTATTGTTATTGTTATTGTTATTGTTATTGTTATTGTTATTGTTATTATTATTATTATTATTATTATTATTATTGTTATTGTTATTGTTATTGTTATTGTTATTGTTATTGTTATTGT